GTTTTTTAGGATCATTATCTATTTGTAGAAAGCCATCCTCTCTTTAATTTCAGCTTTTTCACAGATGGCATCAAGTTACCATCCAAAATTTGCTGAAATTTTATTGAATCCATTTTTCCTTCTACTCGTGAGATGTTCCCTGTGCCACTGGCTGCAACACAACCCCAAAGCATGATTGATCCAACCCCATGCTTAACAGTTGGACAGAGGTTCTTTTCATTAAATTCTGTGCCCCTTCTTCTCCAAACGTACCTTTGCTCATTCCGGCCAAAAAGTTCAATTTTAAACTCATCGGTCCACAGAACTTGTTTCCAAAATGCATCAGGCTTGTCTATATGTTCATTTGCAAAGTTCAAACGATGATTTTTGTGGGTGAGGACGTAGAAGAGGTTTTCTTCTGATGACTCTTCCATGAAGACCATATTTGTACAAGTATCTCTTTATAGTGGAATAGTGTACCACAACTCCAGTGTCTGCCAGATCTTTCTGGAGGGATCGTGCAGTCAAAACGTGGGTTTTTGAATTGTTTTTTCTCACAATCCTGCGAGCTGTTCTGTCTGATATTTTTCTTGGTCTTCCAGATCTTGCTTTAACTTCCACTGTTCCTGATGACTGCCATTTCTTAATTACATTCTGAACAGAGGATATTGACATCTGAAAACGCTTTGCTATCTTCTTATAGCCTTCTCCAGCTTTGTGAGCGTCAACTATTTTCAGTTTCAGTTTTCTAGACAACTGCTTAGAAGAACCCATGGTGCTGATTGTTGGGGCAAGGTCAGATGAGTCTGGGCATTTAAAACCTTTGAGATTGACATCTCACCTGGTCTTCCCAGACGATGATTGAGAACAATCCATGACACTGGCAGGTCTCAGCTTTTGCAAAGGGGGGCAGTGCATGCTATAAATTCTGCAGGGTGCCCAAACTTTTGCAGATGCCATTTTTTTTGTTTTCTGTTATTTTGAAAGTGTAAATGATGGAAATAAAAATCTAACTTTTGTTGACATATTATAAGAATGTCTAATCTGTAATTTGATGCCTTTTGGAGATTTTTCCATCTTTCCTTGGCTTCTTTATGCACATTAATACAAAATTTTAGCTGGGGTGCCTAAACTTTCGATCCCCACTGTAAATGGATGAAAAACATGAAAAAAATGCATGTAAATGGATGAAAAACATGAAAAATGCATGTAAATGGATGAAAAAAGATCAAAAACATAAAAAGCGGATGTAAATGGATGAAAAACGAATGTAAGAGGACATGCGGTCCAGTTTTGCATCTGTTTTTTGCATTGGTAATGGATGTAAATGACTGATGAAAAAACACATGTAAATGGATGTAATACAAGAAAAATGCATGTAAATGGATGAAAAAAACAGATCAAAAACATAAAAAGCGGATGTAAATTGATGAAAAACAGATCAAAAAACAGATGAAAAAGGCATGTAAACCGGATATAAAAACAGAGATATAAAGTGAAGTCTTAAAACATTTAGCTCCAATTTGGAAAAAAAAATGCGACTGAACTGGTGGAAAGAAGGGAACTCCCGTGTGTGAAGGAGCCCTTGATACAAGATTGATATCATAGATCCCTGCATGCTCTACTTCTCACATATGTAACCATTGACATGTTTCTGTTCAGGGGTCTCCTGGAAAAGACGCCACAGATGGTGTGGACGGGAAGCCAGGACAAAAGGTGAGACGCCGCGATGATTTAATGACAAGGCATTGTGTAATGTTACTTCTGTTACAAACTGATAGATTTGGGGAATTTACTAAAAAAGCTGGAGGGTGTAAAATCCAGAGCAGCTCTGGCAGGGGAACCAATCAGCTTCCATGGTTTTTATTGTCAAAGCTTATTTGAACAAACTGAAGCTAAAAGCTGATTGGCTGCCACGCACAGCTGCTCTGGATTTTTTGCACTCTCCTCTATTGCCTATGGTTGCTGTCCAGGTTGAACATCATCCTTGTAATGGTACATTACAGACAAGCCCGTCCTTACACTTTCTACAATACCCACCATTAAAATGTCTCATTTCCCCTATGGCACGGGTGTCTAACTGGCGGTCCTCCCAGCTATGGGACAAACTAAATACAATTTCCCATGAGGCATTGGCAAGATTCGACAGTTTCAAGGACATGGACTCCCAATGGCAGAAGCATGATGGGACTTGTAGTTTTGTCTACCAGCTGGTGGTGAGGCCGCCAGGTTTGATCATCGTCTGCTTCTATGGGCAATGAACAAGGTTGCAGGACTCCCCAGGCTTCTGTCATACTAAATCTCTTCCCCACTGACTCCTGTCCGCTGCCTTTTTGGGTTTTGTCTCTGCCCCACAGTGCACAGCCATGTGCTCCAGACATGCCGGACTGTGCATTGTAACGTGGCATCCCCTGCAACATCCTAGAGTGTTAACTAGAATACCCCCAGTCAGTTAAAATCAGTCTGTAGATGCAGTAAAAGCATGCTTTGTTATACTCTCACTGTGGAACACTAAGGGCGTTAATCCTCTGCCTTTTGTAAAAAACGCTGTTTGATCCTGTTCGTCTATTGATTCTCCCTTCTTTCCACAGCAGTCCCAGTAATCTTCCTTGATAAGAACAGTGACTCTTGGGGCTATACTGTGCATCGCACTGACGAGGTTGGTGTGTATTGCTTAGAGAGGTTTTTCTTTATATCTAGTGGGAGTGTGCATGTGTTCAGTATCATAGGGCCAATCTTCAGAACTGTCAAGACAGTGGGTACAGGGCGTTCACTGCTTCCTCCTAGATGCTAAAATGGAAAATCCTTCAAGCTGTAACCAGTGCTCATGCTTGAAAGTCACATGACTGCTATATATTGTTTGATGAGAAACAGGTATTTAGCAGTTTTATATTTACTAAAATAAATTGCATCCTACCCTATTGTGTGTACTGTGGGATACCAGATATAGTGAAATGCTGGGTAAGGGGGAGACCTGACATAGATGAAAGCAGGGTCGGGGGGAGACCAGAGGTATAGTGAAAGCAGGCGTTCCGGGGAGATACCAAGACTATAGTGAATGTAGGGTACGGTGGAGAGCGGATATAGTGAATGAAGGGGTCCGGGGAGACCGGTTATATAGTGAATGCAGGGTACCAGGGGGAGACCAGATATTTGTGAATGCAGGGTCCGGGGAGGGACCGGGATATAGTGATATGCAGGTCCGGGGAGCAGCGGATTTAAGTGTACTATGCAGGGTCAAGGGAGCACCAGTTTATATTGTATGCAGGGTTCGTAGGAGTCACAGATATTGTGAAATAGCAGGGTGCGGGGAGACCAGATATAGTGAAATGCAGGGTTCAGGGGAGAGAGGATATAGTGAATGCAGGGTTCCTGGGAGACCAGACTATGTTGAAAATGCCAGGGTCCCGGGCGAGAGCCGGATATTGTGAATTGCAGGGTCTCGGGCGAGGAAGACCGGGAATATAGTGACTGCACGAGTCCATCGGGAGAATACGGGATATAGTGGACTGCAGGGTCGGGGAGATCGGATTATAGTGAATGCAGGGTACGGGTAGAGACGGATCGGATATAGTGAATGAAGGCGTCCCTGTGAGTGGAGAGCGGATTTAGTGAATGCATTTGTCAGGGAGACCGGATATTTTGACTGCAGGGTCCAGGGTGACGGGATATAGTGAATGCAGGGTCGGGGGAGGACCAGATATAGTGACTGCAGGGTCCAAGGGACGGGACCGGAGATAGTGTAGTGCCAGCGGTCCAGGGAGAGCGGATATAGTGAATGACTGGATCCGGGGGAGAGCGGATTATATGTGAAATGCAGGTCCGCTCAGGGATGACCAGATTATAGTGATATGCAGGGTCTGGGAGAGCGGATTTAGTGAATGCTAGGAGTCCGGGCGAGAGAAGAGCGGATATAGTTGAATGCAGGGTACGGGCGTGGAGAGCGGTTATAAGTGAATTGCAGGGGTCGGGGTGCTGGAGAGCGGATATAGTGACTGCAGGGTCAGGAGAGACCGGTTAGCTGAATGCAGGGGTCCTGAGGAGAGGGGATATAAAGAGACATGCAGGGTGAGGGGAGGACCAGATATAGTGAATGCAGGGTGTCCGGGAGAACCGGATATAAGTGAAATGCATTAGGGTCGGGCGGGGAGACCGGATATAGTGAATGCAGGGTCCTGCGGAGACCTGATATCTAGTGAAGAGCAGGGTGCTGGGAAGACCGCGATATAGTGAATGCAGGGTCCGGGAGACCAGATATAGTAAATGCAGGGTCCGGGAGACCGGGATATAGTGAAATGCAGGGTCTGGGGGAGAGCGGAATAGTGGGAATGCGGGGAGACCAGATATAGTGAATGCAAGGGGTCCGGGGAGACCGGATATAGTGAATGCAGGGTCCTGGGAGACGGAATATAGTGAATGGCAGAGTCAGGGAGACCATATAGTGAATGCAGGGTCCTTGGGAGACCAGATAAAGTGAAATGCGGGGCAGGTGAGAACAGATATAGTGAATGCGAGGGTCCGGCGGAGACCAGAGATAGTGAATGCAGGGTCTGAGACCGTGATTGATATAGTGAATGCAGGGTTCCGGGGAGAGACCAGATATAGTGAATGCAGGTCGCCGGGAAGACCAGAGTATAGTGAATGTCAGGGTCCGTGGGAGACCAGGATATAGTGAATGCAGGGTCCAAGGGCAGACTGATATAGTGAAATGCATGGGTCCAGCGTGACTAGATATAGTGAATGCGGGTCCAGGAGACAGAGAGTCGTTATAGTGGAATGCAGGGTCCGGGGAGACCCGTTATAGTGAATGCAGGGTCTTGGGGAGACCAGATCTTAGTGCATGCAGGGCCCCGGTGAGAACAAGATATAGTGGAATGGAGGGGTCCGGGGAGGACTGATATAGTGAATGGCAGGGGTCCGGGGAGACCAAATATAGTTGAATGCAGGTCGGGTGGTGACCAGATATTGTGAATGCAGCGTCTGGGGAGAACAGATATAGTGAACGCAGGGCAGGGGGAGACCAGATATAGTGATGCGGGTCCGGGGGGGAGGACCGAATATAAGTGAATGCAGAGTCATGCGGAGACGCGGATATAGTGAATGCAGGGTCCGGGGAGACCAGATCGTAGTGATGCAGGGTCCGGGGGAGACCAGCGTATAGTGAATGCCAGGGTCAGGAGAGCAGATATAGTGAATGCAGGGTCCAGGAGGAGCAGGACTAGATATAGTGAATTTACAGGGTCCAGGGAGACTAGATATAGTGAATGCGGGGTCCAGGGAGACTAGATATAGCGAATGCAGGGCCCAGGGGACTAGATTAGTGATGAGGGCCCGGGGGGGAACCGGATATAGTGAATGCAGGGTCCGGGGAGACCAGATTAGTGAATGAGGGCCCGGGGGAAACCAGAAAAAATGAATGCGGGTCCCCGGGGAGCCCGGCTATGTAAATGCGGGGTTTCCGGGGAGCCCAGTATAGTAAATGCAGGGCCCGGGGGAGACCAGATTTTTTTTATGCGACTTGGGGGGGTTTATTTTAAAAGTCTATGGCCCCCGGTTGCTGAAAGTCACACAAGTAGTGGCAGCTTTTCCAAAAAAAATGCAAAATGCAAAAAAAAATTAAATACTTGCTTTTTGGGGGGTCCAGTCTTTTACACACAAAATAAAATCTGCTGGGAAAAAAAAAGTTCCGCCCCTTTCCAAAAAAAAAGCATGGGTTTTAAAAACGCACGATGTGAACTAGCCCCTAGGAAGCCAGTTTTTGGATGTAGAGTATCCGGGTTCAGCCCTACTGTTGCTTTTCTGCCCCTTTGGTGTTTTTGCCAAAACCCTTCCCGACATCTGTCTGTTGACCCAAGGGTGAACACGGTAACGCGGCTTGGTGGAATTCCCGGACAAGTTGGCCTCAAGGTAACCCAATTTGTGTATAGTAGTCACCGGTCACACCGCTGGATTTAAATCATGCCATTTGGCAAATTTTTGTGCGATTTTAAAGACCTGTTGTACTCATGAGATTTTCACCAAATTTTTTGCGGGGTTTTCAGTCGATTGTCCTTTTATTCTATGTAGTGAAATCACAACAAAACCGCAGAAAGGTCAGCAAGAACTACTTTTGAAAATTGCCTGCAGCAAATCGCAAATGTTAAGACCGACATTCCACTCATTAGATGTGATTTCATTCCCAAAAGCACCTGAAATTGCTTTCGGTGGACTGGGCACTGGGTCCACGCTGTGATTTTTAAAAATGTGCGATTTTGCGCAATTTCAGTACAATTTAGGTTTCGATTTTGAGCCCTTTTTGCCACCCATGGCAATGATTTCTTGCAATTTTCAGTGCGATTTCCATTCTATTCTTGTTTGTGAACGTACAAACTGCAGAAAGTAAAAGGGAAAAACTACTTCAGAAATCATGTGCACAAATCGCAAATGTTAAAGACACCGACATTCACACATTAGATGTGATTTCAATTCCCAAATCGCACCTGAAAAAGGACTGGTATGAACAGGCACTTAGTCATGGTCACTGATTTGTGTGCAATTTTAGCACGATTTCAGGTGCGATTTCTGAAGACCTGATTTAAATGATGACGATTTTCACTGATTTCTTGCAATTTGAAATGCAATTTCCCTTTATTCTATGTATGTGAATCGCAACAAAAACTCCCAAAATGTTAAGACCCAACATTCCATTCATTAGATGCGATTTAGTTCCCAAATCGCACCTGAAATTGCATCGGTATGACCAGGACTTAGTCACCAGC